TGGTGAGCACACACACCCTATAGCAAAAACCTCTCCAAGAAAAAAAAAAGAAGTAAAAACGGATGTAGTTCACCTTCAACTTGTGGCGATCTTGTAAAGGCTGAAACTTTAGGTTTAAGGACCCATTTACACCCTTAGGAATTACTGAGGGCCCCAAACACTTTTGCTTATGTGGGTTATATCTACTGATATTCATATTCATCACATTAGAAATGAAAATGAGTTCTGGGACCAGCAGTTGGCGTAATGGCTGGACTCCCATGTAGTCGACCGCGGTTCGAGTCCCGGACCCAGTGGCTTAAAAGTCACGCCAGGCGCGTGTGCGTGCGTGCCCAAGATCCTGAGAGGAGAATGAAAGAGAAGGGATTGCGGCATGGCCATCCCCCCCAGGGGGTGATTTCTCACTTTCTGTCTCTCTGTCTCTATCTTTTTGGCAAGCGCACAAACCCTATAGCAAAAAGCTCTCCAAAAAAGAAAAAGAAAATGAGTCCTTACTTAACTAATTTAAGATGATAATAATAGTCCCATGGCATGTTAATAATTGTTTACTGTTTTAGCGAGAACATTAAGAGAACTGGGCCTCTTCCATGGTGGCAATGAAGAATACACTGAGCAGTTTGGTGCCCCTGCCTGATTTATGCCAAGGCACCAACAGTTCTATCCCTATTGCATTTGCACTTCCAATGCCAATATCAACACAGTCAAAAAGACAAGTAAGGTATTTCTGAAAATCCTTTGACCTCCCCTAAGAGAATCTTGGGAACTGCCTGGATTTGTGGCCCCACACTTGAAGAGCTACTATTTACCCAATGGCTGGCAAACGGTGGGAGTAATGTAATTAATGTGGATTGATTAGAGAAGACTGGGGGTCAGGAAGGTGGGTGGGGATATATGGATCCTCTTCTAACTCAGTCATTGTCTACCTGCCCTTCCACTTCTGTCAGTGTAGACCTGAATGAAACAATGGTTTGCAAAATGCCTCTCAGCCCCTGGGATAAGGGCCTTCCTTTCCCTGCTCCAGCCACCCACCCCACCCCCTTCCTGGGCAGGCAGGCAGTTTTTTTTTGGGCAGGCAGTCAGGAATGCGGGGGAGAGGTGGCTGAAGCTTGACCCCCCCTAGGGAAGGAAAGTGCCAGACATTTCTTCAGTACCATCCATCAAGTGCAGGCAGGCCCCGCCCCTTGCCTCCCCAAGCCTTTTCCTGGAGCCTACCCCTGTCCCAGTGGGACTAGAGGTAGGGGTGAGCGATCAGGAACTCGGAGGTTGTCTCCAAGGCAGCACTCCCTGATATACACACAAGAGTGGTGGTTTGAGGGTGAAGAAGGGTTACATTGTTCTCCCTCTTGTCCAGTGACTTCTGATGTCCTGTGTTTCCTACGCACTTTTTCTGGCTCCAGTCAGACTTGATTTATTGAGAGACAGAGCTTACGTGGTCATGTCCTTCTTGCCAGCCAAGCTGGGGATGAATAGCATGGGGAAGGCTTGACTGAAAGATGGTTGCCCTGGCAACCACAGCACACGCAACTTCCTGATGGGCCCTGGTGGCCACGTTGATCCCCAGGCCCCCGTTCTTCATCCCAGGGGTGGTAGACAGCCCCAGAAGAGAGCATCTGTGATGAAGGGACTAAGAAGTTCGGTCAGGCTGGGGGCTGGGACATCTGGAGGGACTTGGGCCTTGGGGAGGGAGGACTGTGGGATGAGGTGGGGAAGGGGGTGGGGAGCTGGGTGACTGAGGAGCTACAGCGAGACAATTCTAGGAAATGGCCGGTCAGATCCTTCCGGGGCAGCCTGGCTCCACTGCGGGCACTAGGAGGGGAGGGGGCTGAGGGGTAGATCTGAGCAGAGGCCCAGAGAGTTTGATGATTTCAGCAGCTCCAGAACTTTCACTGGAAATGAACAGATTTCCTTCCGGAGGAAGGCCCCTGAAGGCAGGAAGAACTGGGAAAGCCATTACAGGGGGGTGAGAGGGGTGGGGGCAGTTGTAACAACCGCCCCTAGGCAGGGGAGACAGATTTGTGCCAGGAACCCTGCCCATGGGAGGGGCAGTCTAGCCTCTCAGAGTTTCCCTGGGCTGTCCTGCCTAGTAGGTTTGGGAGGGGTGAGGGGGCAACAGGGTTTCCCCAGAGTATGATAAGAGTAATAACAACAGTAATAATTGGCATTCAAGTGTGACTTGCAGTTGACAAAGGCTTTCATGTACATTATCTCATCAGCCCATGTGACAACCCTGGAAGGAGGGACCAGCTGAGAAGGCAGCTCAGCTGCGGCTGGGAGGGCCCAGCTGAGGTCTAACTGTGTGAGGGGTGGATGGTGAACTGGAGACAGTGTGCAGGGGGAACCCCAGCCCCACCAGCCCCACACAAGACCAGGACAGAGAAAAAAATAGAGCTGACGGAAGCAGACAAATATCCTCCCCACCCCCCACCCCCACTATCACCCCCTGTTTTCTCTACGTCAAAGGGCTTGGGTAATTTATTTATCATAGCAGTACATTTAGTAATAATGATTTTTAAATGATTTATACCTTTCAGGACAGATCCATATAATCTAATTAGCAGAGGCCGGGTTTGCAGCTCAAAGTTGTTTTTTAATTAAATTGCAGGAACTAGAAAATATAAAATTAAAGACATAAACCACTAAAAAAAAAATAATGCTGTTCAGGGAGATTTAATCTTATCAGGTTGGAACGCAAGTAAGATTCCAGTTGAGGTGTTTACCAGGCGAAGGTTAGGGAGCTGATGAATTTGATGTTGCTCAAAGCAGAGCTGACGGTGCTCTTGAAGAAAATGAGACCACACCCGGTGCCTGCTCTGACTCTTCTACCAGGAAAAGAAGTGAGGGGTACGAATCTGCTTGACTGTAGCTCAAGTCCAAGCTTAGAGAAGCACTGAGGGGGTCCAGATAGGGAAAAAAAATCCATACATGTTGGCTTCCATCCATGCTACAGTGAGTGGTTGGGCCGATTGCCCTTTAAGAACATTTCCAAAACAAAGATTCCATAATCAAGTGCATCTGTTCCTTACTGAGGCTCCCTTTCAGGACTTGCCGCAACTTTTCTGTCGGCCTTTGGCTTCTAAACGTGAACCACACATGGTATACCTTAGCTGTTGTATGACCTGTGATCAGGTCAGCCCACCAAACTTGCAGCAGGCAGAAACCAGGCTGAAATATCATGTAGGCCTCAGTGTTCAGAACCGTCACAATTACGAGCCTCTGGACAGCGGCACACATGGAGGCTCGCAGGAGGTGAAAAGACCTCATCCACGTGCCAAGAAGGTGGCCCACCCCGACTCTGTGAGGACAGAAGCTGCTGCACTTTGCACCTTTCTAGACCTCACCCTGTGTCTCTTCATCTGCCTGTTATTTGTCCTTTATATTAAACCTGTAAACGTAGAAAGAAAAAAAAAAAACTGTACAATTACGCAGCTCTATCAAGAGCCAGGCAGTATGACGTTAGTTAAGAGGCTGAACTCAAGAGACAACCTGCCTATATTCAGACCCCAGCTCTGCCTTCATAATCCATGTAACTGTGGGTAAACCACTCAACTTCTCTATGCCCTCAGTTTTCTTTCTTTCTTTCTTTTCTTTCTTTCTTTCTTTCTTTCTTTCTTAAGCACCAGATGTTTTAAATTCCATTTGTTATTATAATTATTTTTTAACTTGACCAAACATAGAGAGAGAAAGGGAAAGTGAGAAATCAAACCACCAGGTCCGGGACTCAAACTGCAGTCGGCCATGTGGGAATCCAGAGCCCCTAACTACCACATCACCTGCTGGTCCCCTACCCTCGGCTTTCTATTCCATACCACCAGAAAGATCATAAGACCTACCTCATAATTTCTTTCTTTCTTTCTTTTTTTTAACTTATTTATTTTTTTAGTTTGCTACACGGTACACGTGTTTGTTAGAGAGAGACAGAGAGAGAAAAAGTGAGAAAGCACTCCCCATGCAGGGAATGGCAGCACTGCAATCCCTTCTCCTCCATTCTCCTCTCCGGATTTTGGGTACACACACATGCACACA